TAGAGTCAGAAAGTAATATGGAAGAGGAAGGTGATGATGAAGGTTGGACTGAAGATAGTTTGGCCTCATCTTGTAATTTCCCTTGTCCAAAGTCAACAAAGGAAAGGTTATGGTGTACTAAATGTTAAACATTTTTTAAAAGTTACTAAGAATATGAAAAGTGTAAAAGTAGATTTTTTTTTTTCCTGACAAGAAACTTTTTTTCACGCATGCGAGATCTCAGTTGAACAATAAAAGAAAAGGGGAATATAATGATAAAGAAGTTTACCGGTTAAAAAATTTTATCTGAAAACTTAAGCAAGAATTCAACAACGACGATGAGTTTGAAGTTTAAATGTCTGGTTTTTTTTTTGTTTTTGTTTTTCTTCCATCTTTGGTACTGTCACTTCAGAGTTTCTACTTTAAATCTGAATGGAGCTAGAGATGTGAAAAAGAGAATCAATGTGTTTGAATTAATGAATTTGAAAAAGATAAATGTTTTAATGGTACAAGAAACACATAGTGATTGTTTAAATGAGCTAGATTGGAGGAGAGAATGGGGGGGGAGAAATTATTTTGAGTCATTTAAGTCAGACCAGTGGGAGAGTTGCAATTCTGTTTTCGAAAAATTTTCTACCTGTGTCTTATCAAGTTGAGGAAGTAATCAAGGGTAGATTAATGGTAGTGAAAGCAAAATATGAGTGTTTTAATATTGTTTTTGTAAATGTTTATGCTCTGAATACAAGAGGAGGGAGGATTCGTTTGTTAAATGAACTTGAAGACGTTTTGAGTAAGTCATTTTGAACCTCACCCAGCTTCGACAATGTTTTTGAAACATTTGATTGTTTTATTTTTTTTTGGTTGATATTTGGAGAGAAATGCACAATCATGAAATTCAATATATTTGGGCTAGACAAACAAATGATTCATTTTCTGCAGCTAGGTTGGATAAAATATATAGTTTCAGACATAATTTTGGAATTTTTCAAAACTGTAATATGAATCCTGTAAGTTTTTCAGATCATGCGTTGATTTTGTGTAGTGTGTTTATTGCCAATATTAAACATAAATCTGCTTATTGGCATTTTAATACTGCTTTGTTGTTAGATACAAATTTTAAAGAAAGTTTTATTTATTTTTGGAGAATGTATAAAACTAGAAAAGAGGACTTTGTATCTTTAGGGCAGTGGTGGGATCACGGGAAAATTGAAATTAAAGAACTTTGTTAACAGTACACTGTTAATGTTTCATCTAGGTTAACTATGTCTATTAGAAATCTGGAGATTGAAATAGTGGAATTGCAGGCTTCTGCACAATCCACAGGAGATCGGGGTTATTTTGAAACCTCAAGTCAAAAAAGGCTGCTTTAGCTGAATTGCTGGGTTCAAAAACACAGGGAGTGCTGGTTCGAAGCAGATTTCAGAAAGTTGCTTTAATGGACACTTTGACAAAGTTTTCTTCTCATTGGAAAAAAAGCAAGGACAGTGCAAGTTTATGCATGGTTTACAATGGACTGCTGATATTCTTCTGATTGCAGCAGATGGTGACATCAGGCGGAGGGCTGCAGATTTTTATGCCGATCTGTACAGCTCTGAATGCATTGAAGATGCATTCAGAGCTGTACGAAAGAAGATTAACGATTTTTGCACTGGTCTTCCAAGAGTTTGGAGGAGATTCATACTGTATTGCAAGGCATGGAAGGAGGGAAAGCACCTGGCATTGATGGTCTTCCCAGTGAATTTTACAGAACTTTCTGGTCTGAACTTTGCTTTGACCTCTTGGAGGTTTTTAAGGAGAGTTTTGCTAAAGGTTTTCTACCTCAGAGCTGCAGGAGAGCAGTTCTCACATTGTTACCAAAGAAAGGTGATCTTCAAGACATAAAAAATTGGAGACCTGTTTCTCTATTATGTACAGACTATAAACTGTTGTCAAAGGTGCTGGCAAACAGACTGAAAAAGGTGATGGATCAGATGGTTCATCAAATACAAACTTACTGTGTTCCTGGCAGATCAATGTTTGATAATATTTCTCTTATTAGAGATATTTTGGACGTTGGAATGTAATGCTGGTTTGGTTTCTTTGGAGCAGGAAAAGGCTTATGACTGAGTTGAGCACCAGTACCTGTGGAAGGTGTTGGAGAGGTTTGGTCTAGACTCTGGATTTATTGTCAAGATTATGGTTCTATATGAAAACATTGAAAGTATACTGAAAATTAATGGCTGTCTGTGTAAACCTTTTATAGTCAAGAGATGTGTTCGACAAGGTTGTTCTTTGTCTGGAATGTTATATGCTCTTTCGATTGAAACATTGTTAAAGAAAACAAGGTTAAATATTGAGGTATTGGTTTTACCAAAGTGTAATATGTCTTTTTCTTTATCAGCTTATGCGGATGATGTTATTATTATAGTTAAAAATCAAGAAGAAGTGAATAATTCAGGTAGAATTGTTGATTTATTTAGTAAATTGTCAGCTGCCTGTGTTAATTGGGCTAAAAGTGAAGTTTTGGCTATAGGAAGCTGGCTTAGCGGGTTTCCTCAACTACCAGGTGGATTAAGATGGAAAAGAGGGGGTCTAAAGTATCTTGGTGTATATTTGGGAGATGAAGATACAGAAAAAAGAATTGGGAGGGGATGTTAGAGAAAGTAGAGGGAAGGTTAGATAAATGGAAATGGTTGATACCACAGATGTCTTACAGAGGGAGAGTGCTTATTATAAATGATTTAGTTGCTTCTTTATTATGGCATAAATTA